CTGAAGATGGGGAAATGCCATGGGGGTGTTGGCTAATTACAGCAGACTTGATAAACGAGGCCATAGCCTGCGGGCCTCAGTCTGCATGCTGTGCGTCTGTTGGATGGGCCCAGGGTGACGAGGAAGATGCTGAGACCCTGAAGGGTCCTGCACCTTCTCCCTTCTGAAGAGAGAGCCTGGAGGAGGGAGACCCATGGGCATTGCCAAGGGGAGGCGCTGTTCTAGGCCCTGGGGATTTAGTAACGGACAATACAGACCAGGTCCTGGTCCCTGTAGAGAGCAGGGAACGGACAAATGCCAAGGGTTTGCTCACCTTTGGATGGGGGTTCATTTGGAGCCCGAGTGGAAAATACTTGGAAGTGCCCTTGGTTGGGGGAGGGGCAAGGGGCAGGGAGGCTCGGTGGTCAGGGTGGCCCCTGGGCCTGCCTCTGCTTAGAGAGGAGTGCCAGCCAGGCCCGGACTGCAGCAGGGTGGCTGGTGCCTTTGGGTCGGTCGGTTGGCTGGGTCCTGGTGCTTGAGTCACCCCGCCTCGCCCCCGGGTTTCTTCCTGCCGGGGGGCTTGAATCTAGCTGGTTGTGTCTGAGACAACCCTCTGCTTTGGGAAGCCAGTTTTCCCGAATGCCACCAGCTGAGCTCTCCAGCGCTGAGCTCTGGCTGTGCCCCTGCAGGGCCCGCCTCCTTCCTGTGCCGGGCACCCCCCCCCCCCCCCCGGGGTGGTTTCCCCCTCTCCCTCCCATCCCTCCCTCGCCCTCCCTGCCCCTTCTGTGGCTTCAGAGGTGACTTCCTGTCCTCTTGCCCTCCCGCCCAGCAAACCCTGTCTGCTGCCATTGCCCCCCCACGAGACATCAGCCTCCTACCTGCCCTCTCCGGCCCTCACCAGCGCTGTCCTCCTCCCGTGCGTGTCCCTCTCAGAGCTAGGACGCACCCCACCCTGGAGGGACACACCAGTTCTTCCTCGGGTGTCTGTCTTCTCTGTGAGTTGGTAGCTGGGGGGTGGACACCTGGCTTGGGCAGGGGGCTAGGGCAGCGGTTCTCAATCTCTATTGGCATTTGGGGCCAGATGTCTCTTTGTTGCGTGAGGGCTGCCCTGTGCCCTGTAGGACAGTTAGCAGCGTCCCTGGCCTCTGCCCACTCAGGTGCCAGTAGCACCCTCGCCCCAAGTTGTGACAACAGAAAAGACTTGACATTGCCGGATGTCCCCTGGGAGTAAAGTTGCTCTGGTGGGACCACCGGACTGGGGTGAGAACAGCATGTCTCAGGCTTGGCTGAGCTGGGAAATTCTCTAGTCCAGATGCCACATCTTAAAGGGCTTTGGGCCGCAGAGAGGGAAAGAACCTTAGGGTCACACGGGAGCAGCGTAATGAAGGAGGCATTTTAGGGAAAGGATCCAGGCAGGTCTTTGCAGGCTGGGCTGAAAAACGGAGGCCAGAGGAAGGCAGGGGCGCGTGGCCGGGACCTGGGCTTGGGGCTGAGGCAGCGGCCTGGCGCCTCTCACCCGTCGGGGGCTCAGCGGGGGTGGCGCCGGGGCTCTGCGTCAAATGCCGGGAAGCCAGGTCCCGGGCTGGGCCTGGCAGTGTGATGTCCTAGTCTGTGAACTTAGGGTCTGGGGGCTCTGCTGGTTTGGGGTCAGAGACGGGAGCAGAGGGTCCCTGCATCTCAGCAGGAGGCCGAGGATGTGGGGTGAGCACGGCCTCTCGTTGCCTGCAGGGCCTCATTCATTCAGCAGTGGCCTTTTGGGGACGGGGACGCGTGTGTGGCTCTGAGAGGAAGGTGCGGGACTTGGGTCCAGGCTGCTGGTGGAGGCTGCCCTGCTGTCCGCGGCAGGCCTTACCTGAGACTTACCCGGGGCAGGGTGACCTCAGACAGGAAGTGAGAGGGAAGCAGAGGTGTGGGGAGCAGCTCATCCTCCCCGGCGGGCTGTGGGGAGCTGGCACAGCAGGTCAGAGGTTGGGGAGCCTGAAGTCACCGAGGTGACTGGCTCCTGGAGGTTCTGAGCTGTTGGGATTTCCCACGTGGGGGCCCCTGTCCACGAGGCACACGGGGAGGGGAGGCACAAGGGGACCCTCCCGGGCCCACTCCCGGTGGGAACCAGCTGCTGGGAGGGAGCCGGACAGTCGTCCCTTGGTATCCGTGGATGCTGAGGTCCCTTATATAAAGTGGTGCGAGTACCCTGAGGACTTTCCCGGGCCCGGGGATGGTCCCGAGGGGCCCGGTGTCTCCAGCGCAGGGTGGGAGGGCGTCCTGCGGCTCCAGGGTCCCAAGGCCAGGCTCCCTACCTGTAGCGAGCGACCTAGCCTGTAGCAAGTGACCTGGCAGCAGCGGGGTCTCCTCTTTTTCTTTTTTTTTTGCGGTACGAAGGCCTCTCACTGTTGTGGCCTCTCCCGTTGCGGAGCACAGGCTCTGGACGCGCAGTATCAGCGGCCATGGCTCACGGGCCCAGCCGCTCCGCGGCATGTGGGATCTTCCCGGACCGGGGCACGAACCCATGTCCCCTGCATCGGCAGGCGGGCTCTTACCCACTGTGCCACCAGGGAAGCCCGGGGTCTCCTCTTTTTCATTCCAGGGTCTGGCTTTTAGAGCCATAAATCTTCAGCATGGAGAGCATGAATTTCCATGGTGTGATTAATGAAAGAAAAATTGAGCCGGCGGCACAGAAAATGACCGGATTGAGCAGAGTCAGTGACAGGTTGGATAAGTCTCTGAGCCTCCCTGCAAACCCAGAGCTCTGACCCGGCTTGGGGCGCCACCTGGTGGTTGCGGGTGTGGGTGGCACCCAGTCCCTGGCTGAGCTGGGTGGATGCCCCGTTGGGTGGGGGGCCGCTCTGGGCCTGGTGTGCCCACACCGCGGACTCGGCCCCGTTCCAGCAGGGCTGCCGCAGGGCACGGGGCGAGGGCGGCTGTCCACGGCGTGGGGCCCCCAGCAGCTGCTCCGCTCGGCTGGCTCCATCTCTGCAGCCCTGGGAGCTGTCTCCAGTTTAGTGACGCGCGGGAACAGCCCCGCTTCTTTCGGCATGCGCCGTCTGGACTGCCTTTCCGTCTCCTCATTTATCAAGATCCTACTCATGCGTCGAAGCCGAGCAAGCCCTTCCAAATACATCTCGAATTGGACCGTCTCTCGGCACTCCTGCACAGCCTCCCGCTGGAGGTCCCTCCAGCCCCGCCCGGTCCCCCGGTCACGGCAGTGGCGTCCTGATGGCTCGCCCATCGCACTTTGCCCTCCGATGCCCTATTCTCCACACAGCAGCCAGAGTGACCTACTGAAACCACAGATCACATCCCTGTCCTGCTCCCGGGCTTCCCATCCCATCAAGAACACCACCATTTTCGTTCCCGATGCCTGCGAGGTCCCACCCGCCGGTCCCCCACCACTGTCACTCTGTCACCTCTGGTCCCCGGCTGGCCAGGCTCCCCCCACCCAGGGCTTTGCACTGCTGTTTCCTCTAGAACATTCTTCCCCCGCTTATTTGTGTGCTTATTTACCCCTCTTGTGGGTTCCTCCTCAAGTGCCACCTTCCCGAGGGGCCTTCCCTGCCCCCTGCCCCCGCACTCCCTCTCATCCTGACTGTTTTTCTTCACGGCACCTGGAAGCCTGTCGTGTGCTTGCTTGTGTGTCCCCTCTTCCCCAGGACGGGTCTCTGCCGGCGCCGTTGCCACCGTTGCCCCGTGCTTAGAGCAGGGCCCGGCTTTAACGAGTAGGAGCTCCATTCCGGTTCGTGGAGCAGATGAGAGAGGAAGTCGTCTCCTGGGCAGCCTCTGCCGGTGCCTGGCCTTCCCGCTGTCCGCCTGCGTGTGGCCGCCTGGCCCTCGCTGCCACGTGTCCGCTCCCCAGAGTGGGGGCAGCTCAAGAGCAGAGACGGGCTTGTATCCTGGGGGCCGCAGCACGGCGCCCGGCTCGGGACCTGTCTCCCAGAGGCCGACGCCTGGCCCTGGTCACCTTCTTCACGGACCTTCTTTCTTTCCAAGACTCACAACGGTCCAGAAGGGGAGTGGTAGTGTCTCATTCCCCACCTGCCCCGTGCACGTGCCTGAGGGGCTGCCCCCTCCCCCTGCCCCCTGAACTCTGTGCCACTTACTTGGCCCCCGTGCATACGGCCTGGGGTGGATGCTGCCCTCCCCTGGCTCCCGTCTGGTCCGAGCCGAGGCCCTGGGAAGGCAGGTCCCTAACGTGGCTGTGGCTCCTCTGTGCTGTAGGTTCTCGGTAAATACCTGTCGACCGACTGACTAGCTCCCGAGACCCCGCAGACATCCTTGAGCCCCTGGAGGGAGCGGGGGGGTGTCAGCTTACGGAGTGTAAAACAAGGCTGCTGTGGAGACCTGCAGCCCGGGGAATGGGAAACTGCAGCTGCAGGCATCGCAGCCCCAGGGGTGCCGTGGAGCGGAGTGGGTTCCAGCCGGGGCAGCTGCTGCTCCCTGGGATGGATGGTGAGGTCATGGCGGACCCGTGCCCTGCACGTCGGCCAGCCCCTCAGCCAGGCCAGGGAGCCCCTTCCTGTTTCCATATGCGTGAAATGTGTTCTTCCAGCTCCTGAGGACCGTGGACAGGTGGCCCTTCCGGTCAGGGCAGCGGGACCCAGTCACCGCAGGGTCTGGCTCTGAGAAACTGGCTCGGCGGTTCCCTCCGAAACCCCTCACTTGCTTCCATGACCATGTAGCCCCTCCCCGGCTCCTTCCGGAGCGCCAGGCCCTCCTCTGCTGAGTGGGACCCCCATGGCCACGCACGTGCAGCTAGGACCTTCCGTACTTGTTATGTGCTTTCCCTGCGCCTTGTTTAATTTGTCCTCATTGACGTGACCCTCTGAGCTTCGAGAAGCTGGTGCCATCCCGTTTGACGCAGAGAGGCTGGGGGCTTTGCGCAGGTCACACCACCCGCTGCGCCCTGTCCGTGTCTCACGGTTGGGGCCGGGGCAAGTGGGGGCCGTGGAGGGACGCGCAGTCCTTTGAGTCTTGTGGAGACGGATACCAGGGCAGTGCCGGGCTAACAGGCCTCCCTCTCTCTCCAGCTCTGTGGCTGTGGACTGCTTGGAGTGGGCGTTTGGCTCTCCGTGTCCCAAGGCAATTTCGCCACCTTCTCCCCCAGCTTCCCATCGCTGTCTGCAGCCAACCTCGTCATTGCCATAGGCACCATCGTCATGGTGACGGGCTTCCTCGGCTGCCTGGGCGCCATCAAGGAGAACAGGTGCCTCCTTCTGAGTGTAAGTTGGACCCCAGACCCCCCAGCCCTCTGAACGCTGGATCGCCCTGCATTTGAGCCCCTGAGCCCCCTGGGTGCCCAGCCTGAGCCCGGAGAAGTAGCTCCTAGAATGGTCTTTGCCTGACCCCACCCCTCTTCCTCATGATTGGCTGCCCCTGCCCTAGGTGCCCCTCCCACTCCTTGACTGGCGTCTGCCTCCTCTCCCTGCCCTCCCCATCGGGGAGTCCTCAGGAGCCGTGGCCTCTCCCGTACCTGGGAAGTGCTGTCTAGGTGTTACCTGTCCCCGGCCACCGCGTTTGCACCCCGGCCCCGGCCGGGACCGCTGCCACGTGCCCACGCCTGCACCTTCTCTTTGCAGTTTTTCATCGTCTTGTTGATCACGCTACTGGCGGAGCTGATCTTAATTATCCTCTTCTTTGTCTACACGGACAAGGTAAGCCTTCCAGGAGGGGAGGGGGCGTATGGAACTTCCTTGCTCCTGGGGTTGGGTCTGGGAAGCCGGAGGAAAAGCAGTGACAGTTCATACTTGTGAGGAGAGGAGAGCTAAGAAGTGCCCGGAGGAGAGGTTTTGGTGGGGGGCTCATTACCTAGTGTAGTCTTAGGAAGTGGAGTCCACTAATGACCACGGGATGCCACGGACGGCCTCTGGCACAGAGAGCTCCCCTTCACTGGGAGTATTCAAACACAGCTGTGGGGAAGGGATGCAGAGCTCACTAGGTGCCTGGGCTGGGTGATAGGAGGGTAACCTATTGGTAACACAGGGGAACCTTCCAGGTGACAGTGCGTAGGGCTCACAGTGGAGGCAGCTGTGATTCCACATCCAGAGACCTTTGGGGACAGACAGCTGCTCCCAGGCTGCCCCGGGGGTTCAGGAGGGTGGAGCGGGGACCCCTGACGACCCCGCCAGGCTGGACGGTTCCCTGCAAAGTTGGGGAACTTCTTCTGGGACCACCAGGAACGATTGGCCAAGCGTGGGCTTCGGGCTCGGTGGGCCCTTTGGGTGCGTTGTACCCAGAACCGTGTTACCATCTTCTCCTTGGGTCCTGAAGGAGGCGCCCAGGCCACGCTGAGAGGGAGAGGCACTCTTAGGATTTGTAACAGTAGTTCCTTTGCATCTCTGAAAAGGAGGCACGAATAATACTGTGAGATCCCTGCGGGCCAGCCTTGTTCTCAGCTCTTTATAGGAGTCCTTTCCTTTAGCTCTCACAATCCCAGAGGTAGAGGTTATTTTCCAACTTCACAGACAAAGCAGAGGTGGGCCCATGCTTGGGATGGCTGATCCGCACCCTGCGGTTCCCAGGGTGTGTCCCGACAGGGGCAGCGTTGCGGGGTGTCGTGGCCTGGAGGCAGGGTGACCTGTGCGGGGCTGGTCCTGGGACCAGGGCAGCTGAGGGGCTTGGGCTGTCCCCGCCTCTGTGTCACAGCTCTGGCCCGAAGAGCTTGGCTCTCCAGGGTCACCGCCTGGCCCCTGGCGGGCCTCCCCCGCCCGGGAGAGCTGTGGCCAGCTGTCCTGGCCGACCTGGGAGAGCTGGGGAGCGGGGCGGCCTCCTGCTCTCGCCCGACCTGAGTCTGCCCTCACCTGCCAGGTGAACGAGAACGCCAGGAAGGACCTGAAGGAAGGCCTGCTGCTGTACAACTCGGAGAACAACGTGGGGCTTAAGAACGCCTGGAACATCATTCAGGCCGAGGTGCGGGGTCGTGCTGGGCGGGGGGGCGGGGCCTGGCCTCAGACTCTGAGACCCGGTTGGGCACCCTGGCCTTCTGGGTCAGACACCGTGTGGCAGCGGCAGAGGGGTGAGGGGGTCGGGGAGGACGGCAAGCAGGGCCTGGACGTGGCCTGCAGCTGCGGGGCCCAGGGAGCTGGGAAGGACGGATGATCGAGAGGGCACCTCGTCCAAGCCTTTCCTTTCTGAAGCTTTGGCACAAACGACAACTTATTTTAGCAGCAGGGTTGCCTCCCTTGTCATGACTCAAGAGGTTCTGTTCTAAGAGGAAACGAGTTAGCACAGCGCGAGGGGGCAGGGTGCTACAGCCAGCTTGGGGCGATCCACAGAGCCAAGAGCCAGGGGGCTGGTGGGCGAGCGGAGGGCTGAGCGGCCTGCCCAGCGCCCAGCGCCCAGCTCAGAGGGCAGGCGACATTGCCTTCTCCCCATCCAGCCTCCAGGAAGGAGCGATCACTTCCTCCCCTGGGCCGGCTGAGGCCCAAAGAAGGGACGAGAAGGCTGAACTCCATGCACCAGCTCCCCTGGGGGCCGGGTGACAGGGGAAGCCCAACGGGGACGCCGGGTGTGGCCCGTCTGACCCTGGGCCCCTCCCCCTGCAGATGCGGTGCTGTGGTGTCACCGACTACACAGACTGGTACCCGGTGCTGGGGGAGAACACGGTTCCCGACCGCTGCTGCATGGAGAACTCCCAGGGCTGTGGGCGCAACAGCAGCGCCCCCGTGTGGAGGACGGTAAGGCTGCACCCCCACCCCACCCCAGGGGTCCGTGCGGTGGACAGCCTGGGGACGGTGGCCCGGGCCACCAAGGAGGTGGCTTAATGTGGGATGGGCGGGGATGCACAGGCCTGAAGCCAGAAGGCAGGTGGGCAGCGGGGGATCTGGGCCCACATCTGGGGGCGTCGGAGGGCGGGGGGGAATGGGGTCTGGGCCTGTGCGGCGGGGCCTTGTAGGCGGAACCCCTGGGGGAGATGCTCGAAGGCAAGAGGACCGGGGCCGGGGGCAGGGGCAGAGGCGCAGAGAGGGTCACGCCAGCGCCTGAAGCTGTGTGGTCCTCGCTCCCCAGGGCTGCTACGAGAAGGTGAAGATGTGGTTTGATGACAATAAACACGTGCTCGGCACGGTGGGGATGTGCATCCTGATCGTGCAGGTAAGGGGGCCGTCCAGCCTCGCGCAGCCCAGCCCCAAAGCCCGAGGGAGAGAGGACCGACGGGGGCTCTGCCCCTCCCCGCCCGGGCTGCGCCCCCGGGGCTTGTGCGAGCCTGCAGGGCGCTGCCGTGTCATCGTCACATCCCTCTGAGCCTTGGGCCTGTGCTGGCACCGCAGGAAGCCCCCATGGGTTTGCCTGTGACATGCCTGTCCCCACAGCACGGGGACGTTTACCCTGTGACTGAACTGAACGGCGGTGAGTCCTCAGGCATCAGCTGTGAGCAAGGCCTACAGGCGGCCTCCGCGGGGTCTGCCCCGTCCCGTGGGATACGTGCGACCTGGCAAGTGGCTTAGCCGCTGTGCCTTCGTTTACACATCTGTGTAGTGGGCGTGATCATGGGCCGCTTCTTAGCGTATGTGAGTTTAATACCCGACACGTCGCACAGGGGAGGTGCTCGGGAAGGGCTCGCTGCCCTCAGCCAGCGTTTCGCGGGCGGCCGTGCTGTGCAAGGCCCAGCGTGGGTGACGGAGGGGGACTCGCAGGGGCCCCCGGCTCCCTCCTTGAAGAGAAGGCTGACGTGGTGAAAGCAGGAGCCCCTGGCCTTTCTGGGGGAGCATTATGGGCTCCCCCTTGCCCACTTGTGTGTAACTCCTACCCTTGGTGACCACCTGACCCTGACTGGTCCGTCCACGGGGAGATGAGCTCCTGCACGAGGTCCCCTTTCTTCCCTAAACCCCGCGGGCCGGACCATGTCTGGTCATCTGCGAGCCTCCAAGCTTAGCAGACAAGCCACTGTCCCTGCTCAGGGCTCTGACGGAAGACGGGCTCACAGGAGCAAGGGTCTCTCCGGTGCCGAGAGTGGGGCTCGGCTCGGGGCTGCCTGCAGCCCGGCCTGGACCAGGACGCCGGGGCCAGGCTGGGCCCCTCGGTCTCCAAGGTCACGGGCAGACCTTGAGTGTGAGTGCCGCGGGAAGTACGGTGTCCTTGGCCGCGCGATTCGCAGCGAGTGCCGGTGCCCGGGAGGCCGCAGGCTGGCTTCCTGCACGTTCTGCTCCGCTCGGGATCGGGGGGCTGAGGAGACCCAGATGAGTGGTAACGTCCTCCCAGCGGAGCAGCGGTCAGACGCCACGCCGTGTACCCCAGGACCCCGCGGAAGTGAGGCGGGGGGCTGTCAACGTCCTGCCGCTACCCCCATGCCCCCAGCTCCCCGTCGGCTGCCACTTAGGGTCAGGTCCTGCCCTCACCGCAGCGCTCTGAAACAGCAGGTTTCTGGGCCTCGAAGCTCGGTGACGTCCCGCACAGACAGTCCGAGCGGCCGAGGTCCCCACGTGCGGCCCCCCCTTTTCTGCATCGTCCTCACTCCGCCAGCACCTGCATCCTGCAGGGGGCTGCCTCATGCGCTCTGGGTGCCCGTGGCCCCCATCTGAGGCCTTCCCCGTGTCTTTCAGATTCTGGGCATGGCCTTCTCCATGACCCTCTTCCAGCACATCCACCGGACTGGGAAAAAATACGATGCCTGAGCAGGCCGGCCGAACGCCCCGGCCCCGTGGACACTGCGCCAGGGAAGAGGCCTTCAGCTTGTGTCGCCTGCCCGCACCCTCCAGACTGCTGACCCCTGCGCCCGCCGCCCCGGCCCGCCTTCCCCGCTGCCCGCTGCAGCCTTCTCGGCGGGCGGAGGCCAGGGAGGACGAGGTGCAGAGACCTCAGGGTGCCGGGGTGCCCGGATTCCTGTGTATTTGCCAAAGAAGACAGGGTGGGCGGGGGGTGTGCTCTGGGAGCCCCCCGGCACCAGTGCACTTCTGCCCTGTCCTTCCTCCGCTGACACTTTGTCCCTGCGTGGCGTGGGGCGGGAGGCGCAGGGCTCCCTCCCAGTGGAGAGACTGCGCAGCGGAGGCCCCGGTGCCCCTGGCCACCCGGAGAGCGGGTGCGCAGACGCGGGCGGGGCTGACCGTCTCCCGGCCGGGCCCCTGGAAACATCTCGCCCAGGCTTTTTATACCTTATAGTGTAACTTTTCTATTTTATTTTACTCTGATTACGATTATTCAGGAATACTATCTCTTGGATAAGTTTAGGGTTAGCTTTCTGATTTATAACTTTTTACTGCGTTGATTTCTGTAACGGTTTGATTTTCTTTCTGAGGGTGGGGACAGGCAGGGACAGGGCGTGTCCGCCCGGTTTCTGTCAGGACAGACCGCTGTGCACACTCAGGAGGCTCTCGCCAGTATGCACTGAGGGTGGGGGAGCAGGGGGCCTGGGAGGGGCAGGGGAGACGGAGGCACAGGAGGCCGTGTGGGGGCGAGGCCTGCAGGGTGCAGCGTTTGCCGAGGCCCAGGCCGCGTGAGAGGCCTGGGCCGGGGGTCCTCTGGGGGCTGCGGGTGCTTTGCTTGGGAACGAGGTCGAGCGGTCGTGGGTCCTTATGCGTCACTGATGAGCAGCTCCTTTTCCCTCCTTCCTCCCTCCTGCCCTCTGTGGGCCCGGGAGGCTCCCCTTCCACCCCTGCGGGCATTCCCGCGACAGGTTCTGCAAACACGTTATTTCACAGACATTCCTGCTAGAAACTCTTGGACAAATACCTCTCTAGTTCAGACGCTGCTTACTCTCTCACTTTGCTTCTGGAAGGGGAAGCGGTCCTTCCGTGGAGCTGCTCAGACAGCGGCAGAGGACCCACGACCACCAGAGGGGAGGGCGGAGCCGTGATCGGTCCAGCCAGAGTCACCCGGCTGCTGACTCCCTGCTGGGAGGGAGGGAGAGATGTCCACCCGGGTCCCAGGACCCTCATCTCCTTCCCTAGGGTTCATTGATGCTGAGGTGACTGATGCTCACGTCCTCTGCGACCCCAAGGAAGAGTACCGAGACCCAAGAGAGGCCAGACGGGATCCTGTTACGGTAGCCCCAGGACAAAGCAGCCTGAGTCAGGGCCTGGAGATGGACAGCTGAGGGGCATCCGACTGCAGCGGGGTGCCCCGACTAGGGTTCACGCTGGTCTAAGCAAGTTGTGCAGTTAAAAAAATAAGTCAAGAGTCCACGTGGCTGAGGTTGGAAAGGTTTCCCCACCAGCTTGTACTTCCCCAGGTGGGCCTCACCTGGGCGCTGCCTTTGCTCTGCACTGTTTGGACGGGTGCCCTGACCTCCCGGGGGGCCCTGTCTCCTCCCCAGCCTCCTCCTGTCTGTTCCGAGAGCTGAGACCTGGCCACCCAGCCAGCAGCCCCCTTCTCCCTTAAGTACAAGACGGTTGGGACCAGTACAGAGCTTTTGGTGTGCTCAGGCGTCGAGCTTCTGGGTGCGGGACAGCAGAGGGTAGGGTGCTCTCAGCGAGTTGGGCAGAGCAGAGGCCACCTCCTGAGACGGGAGTGGGGTGCTCACGGGAAAGCCTGTGGGCAGGGCCGTGGGTGGAGGCCACAGGGGACGGGCCTTCCCCGCCCTCTGGCCCTGCCTTCCCGGGAGCCCAGGTCTGCAGAGCCCAGAGAGGACGCACCACCATTCCGCCGCGAGGGACCCTCCACAAACAAGCATTCGAGTGGCACGGTGGCACTGCTGCATGATGGGTTTACCTTGGGGGGGGGTTGTTCACGCCTATCAGTGCAATATAAAATTTTTGTTGAAATCAGCAAAAGCCTAGCACCTTGGTGGTGTATGGCCTCGCTGGCATCTTATGTTTCTGGGGCTTCAAGGGGCGTCCTCCGGCCCCCTCCTCCCGCCAGCCCCTGCCCCGTCCGTCTGTCCACAGAGCCTTGCCCACAGTTCCCCAAACTGCCTTCTCGCCTGACCCTGTGCTTGGCTGTTCCGTCATTCGGCCGAGTCCGCGCACGGGGGCGGGGGGGCTCCTTCCAGGCCCTCGCCCATCGTGCAGAGCGGTCCCCACCGCGCCGTGTGATGTCAGTGATGGGGCCCAGCACCTGCTCGGTTTCTCCCGACCCTGCTCTCCAGGGCAGCACTACCTGAGGGAAACCCCTCCTTGGCGACTCCCCTGCCAAGGTCACAGTTAGCTCAGTGGGGTCTGATGCAGGCGGTTTACGGAGTTGACTCCCAAGGCCAAGGTCCTGCAGACGTCAGGGGAGTGCCTGTCTCCACTCGGCCTCTCTCTGCAGCCGTCTCGCAAGGGAGGTGAGCCAGCAGGGCTGAGCACGGCCCTTGGGGACCCCAGTAGGTGCTGACGCCTGTTCCCCCGCTGGAGGCCCTCTCCTCTCTCCCCTCCAGCGTGGGCCTGCGTCGTGGCCTCTCACCCTGGAAAGGTTGCTGACCCACCCCAGGCCCTCATGCAGGTGTTCTGGTTTGACTTGGACCAGATGGCCATCTGTCCTTGCTTTGGTGGCCAAAGAGTGGTCCAGGTGGATGGAAAGGATGTCCCCACCTCTCCGGCCCCTGCCCACCGCTGGTGGAGGTGCTAACAGCAGCGACCCAGCCAGGATGGAGCGGGATCCGGGTGCCTGAGGTTCTCCCGCCCCTCGGCCCTTCAGGGCCGGCCTCTTGCGTTCCTGTTCTCCCATCCCCCCGCTCCCCCGCCACGAGGCCAAGTCCAGGCCGTGTCCTTGCCTCGCCACGCTGACCGGGCCCCTCGAGGGCCAGGCCTGGGGCTTGTGCCCACACGCTGCCCGCTGGGGCAGCATGGCCGAGCGGGGGGGTGCGCGTGCTGGTTTCAATGCACTTTTCTGCTTGCGATGCCGTATCTGTGCGCTTCCTTCCTCCTGGTCCTGGCTTACGGAACGCCATGTTTTTAGCATGTTTTTAAATAAAAACTGATAACGTGTCAAAAGCACACGCAGGCTGTCTCTTTGTGGTGTTTGTGTCCACTGAGCCACGACTGTGGCTTTTTCACGAGGTGTTGCTGTGAGGGACCAGCCTGCCTTGTCCACGCACAGCCCACAGCAAGGACCTCTCCCCACCTCCTCGGGCCCAGGCTACAGATCTGCTGGGTGGGGAGGGGCCTCAGGGGTCAGGGGCCTGTCCCGGCAGCCTGGCCGCACGAGAGGCCAGCTCCCACCTCAGTGTCTGCTACCCGCCACAGATGGCCAGTTCTGGGGTCCTGTAAGTGTGTGAGGGCGGGGCCAGGAACAAGTTATCAGAGGCCCCCAGTGGGGCGGGGCTGTCAGCTTTAGGTACAGCCTCTCCCCGGTCCCTGCGAGGTTCCTGGGGTTCGTGTGGGCCTGGCGTCTCTCCCAGGACTGAGGGGACCTCACCGTGTGACTTAGTCTGGGCCGCACCCGCTGAGGGTGGCCCTGGGACGGCCTTGAGAGGGCAGGAAGCACCCATCAGCAAGAGATGGTCGGCGGGGATGGAGGGTGGCATTGGAGCCACGAGAGCCCTGATCTGCCGGCCAGCTGCAGCGGGAGGCTCCCAGCTCCCTCAGCTGGGGTTCTGGCTCGTGGGTTTTCCTCTGCTGTCATCGTCACAGTGACAAGGAACAGGAGGGGGGGGGTGGACGGGCTGGGCGGGATGGAAGGGTAGGTACAGCACGGGGTCTCCCTGAGCCCCTCCACACGAGATCTGCCCCCCTCCTCAGGGGGAGGCCAGGCTGGCACGAATTGTGCTGAGCACCCACCTTGGCACCCCTTCCCACGGCTGCTGTGCCCCGAAGCCCCCGGGGGTTCGCTGAGGACTGAGGAGTCTGAGGCGACCCTCTTGAAGGTCCAGTGGAGTGGGGTCCCTGGGAGCCTCCCCAAGGACAGTTACCGGGGGACCTTGGGGCCGAGGGCAGGTGACCCTCTGTCATCTGCTGAGGACCAACCAAGTCACAGGAGCGCGGGTGGCGCCGCTGCCCCTGCCCATCCTGCTCTTACTCCTCCTGCCCCAGCCCGTGGGTGCCCCACGGCGATGCCACCTGGCCCCTGTGCTGTCTGCTCCTGGAGCATCCCGGCCGCACTGTGAGCGCTGGGTTCCTTCCAGGTGTGCTGTGAGAGGCAGCTGCCCTGGCTGGGCAGGGGTCACAGCCTGTGAGCCGGTGGGTGAGTTTGAACTTTAAGCTAAGAGCAGTGGGCGCCCGCTGAGAGGCTTGAAGCCCGTGGGACCGGCTCAGCTCTGCCCTTGGGTCCATGCCTCTGGCTACAGCGTGAGAATGAAGGGAGTTACCAGCGGGATGGGGGAACATCCAGGGCTTCCCTGGTGGCACAGTGGTTAGGAATCCGCCTGCCAATACAGGGGACACGGGTTTGAGCCCTGGTCCGGGAAGAACCCACATGCCGCGGAGCAACTAAGCCCGTGGGCCACAACTACTGAGTCTGCACCCTAGAGCCCGCGAGCCACAACTACTGAGCCCACAAGCCACAACTACTGAGCCCACGTGCTGCAACTACTGAAGCCCGTGCGCCTAGAGTTCGTGCTCCACAACAAGAGAAGCCACCGCAACGAGAAGCCCACGCACTGCAACAAAGAGTAGCCCCCGCTCGCCGGAACTAGAGAAAACCCGCGCGCAGCAACAAAGACACAACACAGCCAAAAATAAATAAATTAAAAAAAATAAATTAAAAAAAAGAGAAGACATCCAGCTTGTTCTGAACCAGAGTAGGTGCTTGGCAAGAAACTGGTCAAATCTGGGGCCTCAGGAGTCCCCAAACAAGAGGTGGGACCCCAAGGAAGAGCATCCCCCTGGCTGAAAACTGGAGTTGCAAGAGCGTGATCTGCGGGGCGGAGCTGGATGGAGTGTGGAGGGAGGATAGAGCTCGGGAGATGTGCGGGCTCAGTGGGCAAGCTTCCCCCCCTGCCCCGGGGGGCTTGTTATGCTCCACTGGTCCAGTAGCAGCATTCAGCAAATCCACACATGTCAGATTAAGTCAATGTCATTTTGGACACAAACGTATCGGCATTGCAATGGTTCCTTCTTAAAGTGTTCGGCAAAGAGTGGAGCCTATTGATTTAGCCATCCTGTTTTCGCTGAGCGTAACGCAGCCATGGAGACAGACTAGTGTGTCTCCTTAAACTAACAAAAAGGATAACAACCTTCCACAGGGCGTGCCCGGGCCAGGCTCTCCGGTTGAAGCTGCTGCTGGGGTCTCCCTCTCGAGGCGCTTGGATGGCAGCTGGGGCACCCCTGAGCACTGCCCAGCTGCCCTCAGTGCCCCTTGATGCTGAGCAGAGTGGGGACTGGTGTAGCCAGGCCCCAGTGTGCTCTGTGGGTCTGGTGGGTAGAGCCTGCTACCACCCAGAGATTTTTCTTCGGGTGGCTGCAGAGCTCAGGGAACCAGCCTCGCCCAACGTCTGCAGCAAGGCTGATCCAGCGTGTGTACAGGTGAGGCCATCTCACTGGTCTATGGCCTCAGGAAGCTCCTGGTCTTTTGCCTCCCTCTCCCAGCACTGAATTCCTGCAGGGCCAACATAGTCTCAATAGATATCTTCTCTGGGTCAACAGACCCAGTTCCAAAGGACTCAGCCTTCTTACTTACTGGTTGGCAACTCAGGGAAAGCATGTGAAATTTGATCTGTGGTCCCCAACCTGGGGTTCCCTAAACACCAGATAAGGACTTTCAGGGACACTTACAGCTTTTGAAGTGTCTGGTGGAAACCGTTCCCACCTCGTGAAACGGCGCCAATGGGACCATTAGCCCTCTTGGCTCCGGCTGGCCTGGCTGACGACAAAGTGCAAGGACAGAGTCTGGACCTTGCTGACGAACAGGGCTGGGTTCATGCTTTACTGACCGCCCTCTTCACCCCCTGGCCTGACCCAGAGGCTCCCCCAGGCCCCCCTGCCGGCCGTCAGTCACTGCGTCACCATCTTCAGCCACTGCGTCATCTTCAGCCAGTGATGGATGCAGGGGGAGAGCGGGAGCGGGGCTTCCTGTGTCCCCACTGACAGCCTGTCCATTCTCAGCTGGGGGACAGAGGGAAGCAGGGCCCAGCTCGCGGCAGCCCACCCACCGCAGCCTGACAGCCTGGCCCTCGGAGCTGGCACGGAGCGGCAGGCGACGGGCCCGCCGGCGGGCACCGAGGTGGACAGCTTCGCAAAGGTTTTGTGCTGCCCACCCACCTGACCAGGGCCCCGCTGACTGCCAGCCTGTGTAGACAGCAGTGCCCACCACCCCTAGCGCTGCTTGTGTGCAGCGGGGAGGGACCTGCAGGTGTGCCGGCCCCCCGGGCACACTTGAGCGTTTGTGCGGACACACGTGCATACTCACGCTCACGGTGATGGTGCAGGTGAGCAGACATGCCGGCCCAACAAGACAGATGTGCTCAGACGTGCCTAGACCGGGTCCAGCCCCTGCCTGATACCCAGGCCATCGGAGGGCGGCCCCGTGGTTGTTCAGAGAATAATCTCGACCAAGATGCGGGCGTAATACAGGAGGAGGGCAGGGCTGTGGACTCCCCTGCAAGGTGGGCTCCCCCCGGGGACATCCCTGGTGGATGGAGGGCTCACACAGGCTCACACAGTGAACGGGACTGTCGGGTTCACACCAGGCGAGGGGCTCGCGCCCAGCCTGCAGACCCCCGCACCACCCCGTACCCCCGTCTTGGGGCCACCCAAGCCCAGCTGGCCCAGGTGCTCCCACGGACCCCAGCCCCGCCCACCTCAAGCAAGTTTTCTAGACAGAAGAGTGAATGAAGTAGAATGAGCGTGTCCTGTCACAAAAGACGAAGCATTTACTTCCTTCTGGCTTCACACTGGGCAACCTGGGGCCCCCAGCTTCTCTGAATTACGATGGAAGTCGCTTTGCTTTGGGGTGAAAAGTGCCCCCCCCCCGCATCTGGGGACGGGGACAAATGAACTGGTCCCCGTGGAGAAACGCTGCCACTCTGGAGTAAGGTGGCCCGGGGTCCCGGTACCGGCGGGAAAGTGTGACGTCAGCCTGGCCTCTAGCCCTGCAGAGAACTTGGGACTTATGGTTATTTTTTGATTATATGCACGAATCCCAGGAAGTTGGAGGGCAGCAAAGATAATCGCAGCACCATGGTTTTTGGCTTTGGTGCAATCTGGGATTGCTGGAAAGCTGGCCTCCCTTTTAATGAACTGGCATCGGTGACCCCAGGGCCCTCTAACAGCGCCTGGAGAATCCCAGGGCAGGAGAGGCGATCCGCCCCGGGGAGGCTGCTGTGCCCTCTGCTCGTGTGGGTAACCCCTGTGCGGGGAGTGTGAAGTTTTGGTACAGTTGGGGCTGTGTTGGGGACAGCAGTGACCCCCGAATGGGAAAGAAAACACCCTTCACCAGGGACTGAGCTGGGCCCGCAAGAGACTGGGGAGGCGACATGTGACCTTTCCTGGCCTTGGCCTCAGCATCACGGCGGTGGGAAGTAGGAGGGGAATCCAGGACCCTGGACACGAGGGCCGGCGTGGGGATCTCTGCCCACTCGTAACGGCCACGTGGAGGGGGATGGGCTATGGGGGTCTCATGAGTTGATGCGTGTTCTTTGGAAAACTACCAGCACCTGTGCTCTGCACTTCCTAGGATTTTCTTTCAGTTCTCCCTCCATATCTGGGAAAGTTCTTCCTGAAAATTCCCTGATCCACCCCCAGTATGACAAGCTAAGGAAAGGGCTATATTCTCTCTGGGAAGCAGTGGGACTCCTGCAGGCCATGTGGTGACGGCCCGGTGGTCTGGGAGTGTGGGCCCAGGAAAAGTAAGTTCCGGGCAGAGCATCCCCTCTGCTCAGAGCTGCACCTTCTCAGCGGCTCCAACTTTGCAGGGTCTGTGATTTGGTTTAATCAGGAAGGATTTTACTCCCATCATTAAGAGCTGAAGATGGTTTTAAAGAGTCTGGTGGAAACCGTTCCTGAGGGGCATATGGCTAGAGACGGGGCTTGGGGCCAAGGTCCCCCCAGGGGGACCTCTCCAGGGGAGGGGCCCAAGGCAGGACCCTGCTCCCGGCCCTGGCGGCTCCACCCTGCCTGCGCCGCCCAACCCCGGCCCTGCAGGAAGGAACCGGGCCACCCGACACTCCTTTCCAGGTGAGAAGGTGTGGTGGTGGGCAGAAGGCTGGGTCTTCTGGGGGCAGAGCCAACCCTACCTGCCCACCCGATGCATTTCCCGGGCCGGGGGGAGAAAAGCGCACCCAGCAGAGGCACGAGGAAGGATGCTGAGCACAGGTGGGAGGGTCACGGGGCCCAACGTAAGCATCGCAGAGGGGCCAAGCTTTCTAGCCCTGGTTCAGGGTTCAGGAGCAGGGAGGGGGCACAGCCTGAGCCCAGCCCCCTGCGGCTCTCAGGAGCCCATGCCTGGAGAGGCTCTGGCTGTGGTCTCCCAGCAGCCTCCGTCCCCGGCCTGGGGGTTCCGGTGGTGAGCCCACAGAAGTGCAGGGAGGGGGCTGAGGGTCCCCGGCCCGGGCTGGGGGCTGCAGGAGCCATGGTCTCAGGCACTTGTGGGTCCCAAGGGGCTGGGCACAGAGTGGGGGTTGTTTCCGGGAGCTTCCAGGCCAGCTGATGCTGACGTCGCAGGCCTGGCCGATGGGATTTGGGCCCCTGAACTTGCGAGGAGCAGTGGGACGGGGACAAGGTTGGCCGTTAGTATAAATGCAGCTGGACCCTCCGGTGCAAACAGCAGGTGAGAATCATTCCGCAGATCTGCCGGGTGGAAAGAGCAGAGGGACAGAGCAATCAGAGCCCGCCAGTGTGCCGGCCAAGGGTGCCCTGGAGCTGGGCTTCCCACCCCAAGTGCCCCCTGGGGACCTGATCAGGGGCCTGGGACTCTGCATTTCTAACAAGCTCCCACGTGATGCTGGGGGTGGAGGTGGGGACCACTTTGAGAACCACACCCAAGAGCGGTATTTCTCACACTTGAATGGTCACGGATCCCCGGGGACCTTGTTAGCTGCAGACTGCAATTCTGTGGCCTGGGTGAGGGCCTGCACGTCGAACCAGCTTCCCGTCCACACGGCGGCTCTGTGGTCCCAGATCTTCTCTGGAGATGGCCTGGTTTTATTAGATTCCGAACGGTGACACCGCCACTCCCTCGTTGCTGGCTGAAGCCGTCTTTCCTGAGGAAAGTCTGTCTACATCTTGATGCTCTCAGTTACCAGAGAAAAACAAGGCCCCGGAGTCGATTCTCTGGCTGACGTGCAGAAGGGGAAACTGAAGCCCTCAGTGGAGCGCCCAGGACCGTCACCAGCTCATCTTGTAAATCAGCTCGGGACACGGCACCAGCCCCAGGCCCAGGGAGCCTGCCTGCCAGCCCCTCTGTCCCATCTCCGAGCTGCCCGGAGCCGGGCAGTGCTGGGCAGTCGCCTCCCACGTCTCACTTGCCCATCTCTAAACGCAGAAGATGAGGACCTTTGCTCCCCAACCTGTTCTTTGTTTGCTTCTTCCTCTTCCTCTCCTCCCTCACGCGCGAGGATGCACTGAGAACGCGGAGGTGAGGCCGTGTCAGACCAAGGAGGCCCAGGGCTGGGACGGTGGCCCTGATGAAGATGGCGCCGCTGGCTTCCGGCTCCTGGTCCGCAGGAGGGGACACTGGGAGGGCAGCCCATGTGGACAGGGGTCCACTGGACAGGGACAGGGGTCCAGGTGGGTTTCCCAAATAGAGGAAGCAGTACCCCACCTTTCCCCGCGGCTGCTGCTGACCTCATCTTTCCAGGGTACCTCCGGCTGCACGTGGAGGAGGACAGGCTCATGAGGACGACGTGGGGCTGGCAGACCCTAGTTTCTCTTTGAGAGACTCAAGGAGGGAGCAGAGGTCGAGCCCTTCTGTGCCCCCTTCCTCCCTCCCCTCCGTCCCCCCGCGGGAGTTTCACCCCCTGGGAACACAGCTTTCAGCTTTCAGACTTGGTGCTAAGAGCAGCGCTAATCCACCTCTGGGATTCAGAGCCATGGGCTCAAAGGTGGCTTAAGAGGTTATCTCATCTCCCGCTGGCTTTAAGTGGGTGGCGGTCACAGTCATTCCAGCCAGGTGGCGTGCAGGCCCTCTGCCCTGTCCCACCTCATGGTTTGATGACTTGTCCTGGGGGATCATCTTGTCAGGGGGAGGACAGATGGGGGCAGCTGGACCAGCACAGACGCGTGGCTGCGTCCCCTACGGCACACCTCTCACGCCGGGGAGGGCCCGGAGGGCTGAGCGTCCAGCACGCGCACTCCGTACATGACATGTGTCCCCAGGGTGCCCCCGGGGAAGGCACGGCGAGGTGGACGTCAGCGCGTGTCCAAACACACACACACACACACACACCCCAGCCTGATGCATGCAGAGGGGCAGACGATGTGCTCATCGACACGTGGGCACATGTACACACACGTGTATACAAACACACACGTGCACACACACCACTTTGATGCATGCAGAGGGGCCGAGGATGTGCACACACATTCACACACGCACGCACGCACGGACGCGCACACACACCACCCTGATGCGTGCAGATGGGGAACGGGCCCAAACTATCCAGTCCCTGAGGGACCCCCCAGTGTCCCGTTCCTGACAGAGGACATGGGGGACTCAGCACAGACGGCTGTGAGCAGGGAACACACAGGCCAAGGGGGCTGCAGGAGCAGGAGATGGCAGAGGGTGGGCTGGACAGGCTGCTGGGCTCAGCCTGTGTGGGGCACGGGTGAGAGGTGCCGTCTCCTGGCAGCCTGCCTGGAGGCAGTGTTTGCCGCGTGCAGGCTTTTTAACACGGAGGCCGGCATGCTTTTAGCCTCTTGTGAGGTTTTTGGGACGGCAGCCGGCTGTCATTACAAGCATCAAGAATGGGCCAGGGAGGTCCAAGAAGCCTTTCCAATAAGATCTTTCAGTTCCCCTTTAAATGACCTACAGACCCCAATCTCGCTGTCCTGTAGGTTTCTGGGCTCAGGTTTCCATCCTACGTTGTGGGAATGTCAGGGTGGGAGTGGGTTAGCTTCTATCTGGGGCTCTGTGACCTTGGGTTCAGTCATAACCTCTGAGCCCCAAGTTCCCCTCTATCAATAGGAAAACATCCAGACCGTTCACAGGTCCAGAGCCTTCCCAGTGAGATTCTTTGAAACTCAGTATAAGACCAACACCACGGCACCCAGCCCCTTCTGCACCCTGAGCCTGTGAGAGGCTCCCCAGGGCCCTCAGGACAAACCTCCCCCACCCCCCAGCCAGCCAGGGCTTTGCACATGTAGTCCCCTCACCCTGGCATGCTTCCCCCTTCTGCTTCTGTCAAACTCCTTCAAGGCTTAATTATATATCACTTCCTCCAGGAAGCCTTCCCTGACTGCCCATGATGGTTCAGGCCTCCTATGTGCTCCCCAAACCCCAGGGCTCACACTGTGACTGTGCGTGGCTCCTGTGTTCTGTGTGTCTCCTCCCCTTGAGTGAGAGCCCCTAGGAGAGGGGACCACGTGCTGCTGGCTGGTGTGGCCTGGCACTGGGCAGGGCGCCTGGCACACAGCAGTTCCCGTTACAAAGCTGACAAAGAGTGCTCGCCCTCCCCCTCCTCTGCCCACCCTGCCCCTGAGAGGGAGGCTCCCGGATTCTGTGTGTGAAGAGGATGGTCGGAAAAGGGGCTGAGCCACTATGTCCTTTTTAGATAGAAGCTTCCTGGCCAGAATACGCTGACAATTAGCTTCCAAAGTGACCTCAGCGTGGACAGCCTCCAAAGCGCACCCACAGAAGGGGACGTGAGGGTGCAGCTGGGTCCTGGCCTGGTGCCCCAGATGTACGTGAATAGGTGGGGCCGTGTTCTCAGCCCCGAGCACACACGTGAATCACCTGGAGGGATTTAAAAAACACCAGTGCGCAGGTCTCACCCCAGACCAACAGTCAGGATGTGTGGGGATGGGGCCTGAGCAGTGGTAGTTTTTAAACCTGATTCTACTGCGTGTCCAGGGTTGACACACCCGCCTAGAGAATCTTCGAGTTTTTCCCGGACTACAAGCGTACGATTTGGGGCACCTTGCGGGTCTGGAAATCCAGTGTATGGAGTCACACAAGACGGGAGGGTGGAGGGGTCCTGCCAGCTCTTGCTGAAAGCGACAGGTGCACAGCCTGGCAGGTGCGGGACCTCTGTCCTTCAGTGTCCCCACCAGCCCCCAACCGCTGTCCCAACCTACAGCCAGGAGCGCTTTGCACTCTTCAGGGACGCTGCTGGCTGGCTCCAGTTCTTTGAAAGTTCTCCAGTCGGGCTCCCTGTAAATTCCCCTTCCTGTTTCTGTCTGTCCTCCGGCCCCTGCCCCGCCCTCAGGACTGTCTTGGGGGTTAAGGACCGAGAGGGTGCAGTCCTGTCCCCCAGCTCCTGATACCTCCCACTGCTGACTTCCAGGCCCCCAGGGCTCCTTCTCACGTTTCTCCTCCTGGCTGCAAGCTGGACCCACCAGGGAGCTTTGCAAGCACACAGCTGCCCGGCTGCCAGCCCCAGATGGCGTTATTTAATTGTTCTGGGGGTGCAGCCCAGGCCCGGGGCGTTTTAAAGCTTGCCAGGTGACCTCAACGTGCAGCCCTCAGAGGCTCCAGGAGGCCCGTCCCTCTCTCGCATCCTGGCCATCCAGCCTGCCAGCATCTCTGCAGGCAGACCAGTGCCTGCCTGGTCCATGCGCCCTGGAGGCACACGCGACGTCTGGCTGGAATCAGGTTTGCTACGTTCGTCGTTTGTCGTTGCTTCCTGCTTGGTCTTCAGAGTATTCGTGAGACATCTACCTAACGTCCCAAGAAGCGGCAGCACCTCCGTCTCACTGAGGCGGCAGCCTTCCCAGAAAGTCGGAAGATCGTGGGGGGCCAAATGCTTCCTGAGGGCTCTCACGCCAGGCTCATCTCCCGACTCCTCCGTCGGATCAGCTCTGGCTTCATGTTGAATAACGGCTCCTGTGCAAGACTTCCGGGATGAGAGGTCGCTGCTGCTTAAAACAGGCTTGCAGACATCAGACGCCTCCATTTCACAGGTAAAGAAACTGAGGCTCAGGAGGGAGGGTGGCTCCCCCAGGTCACACAGAAGCGGGGGCTCCGTCTACCACGGGGGCCCTCTGACTCCAGGCAAGACTTCCCCCTGTTCCTGAGGACAGGGGGGCATGACATCTTGGCCTTGTATCTCCAGGGCCTGGGGGGGGTCTCCGAAGCGCCAGGCTGGGCGGGTGTGGGGAAGGTGCTAGGTGCCTGGTGGAGGATGGCAGCCCGGGGGGCTGGCCTGGTTTGAGCCCCTCCTCGAGGCTGGATGGTAGCTCCAGAGCCAGCCGGCAGGGGGCGCTGGAGCCCCGAGGCTCGGCCGCCGCAGCGGAACGGACGGAGGAAATGGGCCAGGGATGGGGACCCAGCGGTGGCCCGGTGACACTCTCTCCCGGGCATGAGCACAGTCCCGCAGGGCGCTGTGGAGGATGAACCGCCCTTGGTGGGGATCAACGGGGGACTGCGGGCACCTGCCCTCGACCTGGTGACCCGGCCTCCTCAGCGTTACTCCTACAGCTGGACATGTCCCACCCTGACCTCAGGCTCAGCGGTCAGCCCGCTCCCTGCCCTTGGCCTCACTGCTTCATCTTCAGCTTCACACTTTTGAGAACAGAGGTCAGGAGGAAACGGACGGAGAGTGCGGCCCTGGTCCGGTCAGCGTCCGCAGAGCACGCCCCCAACACCTGAAGTCGGCAACAGGTGTCCGGGAAGCTCGGCAGAGTAGGAGCCGCAGTGCAGAGCATCCCTCCCCCGGCTCCGGCTTGCGGCCCCCCGGGGGTCAGCGCACCGAGCGGAAGGCCTGCCTGGGCGGTGCGAAAGGGCCGTGTGAGTGCCCCCCACCTGCCGCCCCCGGCTCGCTGTGCCTGCACCTGAGTGCGGGTGAGGGGGGCAGGAGACAACTCGGCTCTTTTGAGAGACGCTGTGCCCACGTAGAAACGATGAAACGGTGGTGGGTACCATTTTCTGAGTGTCTGCTGTCTGCTCAGCGATGAGCTGAGTGATGTATGTGCACGATGCCCATCCCCTCTAGTCACCCATCAGCTCCTTTTTGCAAATGAGGAACGGAGGCTGTGCCCGCAACTAGACTCCTGGGTGGTGGCCGGGGGACGGGTGTGGAGTGGTGAAACGGAGCAAAAGGCATCGCTCATCCTCAGAGCACAGAGCTGGGTGTACATACCTCCAGGGGCACGCACACGTGCATCACACACACGCGCACACACAAAGGAATGAGCGCGTGTCCATGCATGAGAATATACACATATGCACAGCCCGCCTAAACACATATGTGCATCCGGCCCCAACCACGTACACCCAGGTGCATGCAGACACACCCATGGACCCACTCAGACCACAGCAGGCTGTGCACACACACCCCCGCGTGCACACACAGAGTGCATGCACATACCTGAGCCCACACCACTCCTCCCAGGTCTCTGTGCCTGACAAGTTCAAGGTGGCCCCAAGGCCCAGGTATTTTCCTTCATGTTTTCTTGGCTGCAGAGGGAAGAGGAGGGGATGGGGGAGGAGGGGGCAGGCAGGGCAAGGGTGGGCAGAGGGACAGGATCTGCAACCTCAGCTAGCAAGAGAGGGCTTAGAGTTCCAGACACTGCCCCCCGCACCCGAATCCCTGCTCCAGCTCACCTGCAGGCAGGCCACCCCGATGCCCACCGCCCCCATGAGCAGCAGGTGGTCGGCCAGGAACTGCTCCAGCTTGGTGATGCAGCCTCCCTGGAAGGTAGTAAGGCAGGTCACACACCCCTTGGCCCAGAAGTGTGTGAGGATGGGGAGGGAGGGCTGGCTGGGGGGCTACGCCCACCCAGCTCAGGGAGGCCAGACACTTAAAGGGCCGGGTCCAGCCTTTCAAGTGCCCGTGGGCTTCTCAGGTGGCCCAGGGGCGTGCCACGATGTCCCCGAATCTCCCAGGAGTGGCTGCCACCCCCAGGCTTCGTGGAGACCTTGGAAGGCCCACCACCGTGTCGTGGCCAGTGAGTATGATCTCCACCCGGCCCATCTCGAGCCTTTCCGGGCCGCCTGCCTGCCCCGGCAGGACGGGCACTTACCTCCACCTTGTAGATGTTGGAGGGGTGTGCCCGCCGGCCACAGCGCGCCACCACGGTCTTGCAGCAGCTGTCGGGCACCCGGCGGCCCTCGGCCTCTGGAGACAGGATGTACGTGCTGTGTTGCCAGTCGGCCGAGCTGTTGCTTCCGCAGCACCTGAACTGGAGCGAGAGACGGGGCTGGAGGTGAGGACCCGCGGGGGGGGGGGGGCGGGGGCCCTCCAGCCCCTCGCTTACGGGGCCGCAGGACAGTCTTCAGATCTTAATCCAATCCCTCTTTGCTTCCGAGATTTCTTCCCTTCCCCTCTTTTGAGCGGGAGGCTGGCTCTGCGGGGCCCTTCTCTTCGGGCGGGTGGAGAGCCGGTGGCAGGAACACCGATCACCACCTTTATTGTTCACCCACGTCCTTTAAGGAGATTGCGCTGGGTGTCCCTGGGGCGGGGAACGTCTGGGAGAAGATGTGGGGGGATGGATGCCAGCAGGTCCCCCAGGGAGTGGGGCTGTGTACCACTGCATGCAGGCCCAGGGCAGCACCAAACCACCAGGGGGTGCTTTCCTGGTCATCCAGGGAGGTAGGACATCCCCCCACCGGCACAGGGTCGCAGCCTTCCCAGAGGCTCAGATGCCCCCCATCCAGGCCTCGAAGCCTCAGATCCCCTAGACCTGCAGGACACAGAGGTGTCCCAGAGGCCACACACAGCCAGCTCATTGCCGAGCAGAGGGGCCGGCGTGAGTGCTGAACAAGACCAGGGTCTTCAACACAGCTCTGGGGCGTGGGGAGCACCAGCCCGGGCCTCAGGGGAGCCGGACAGCTGGACACGGTTTATTTCCTGCACCCCGAGTTAGGGGACTGAGACCCAAGTCCCTGTAGGGGCCACAGAACACGGCTGCTGTGAGGCTCTCTGGTGTGTGGGGTGGAGGTACATTTAGCCCAGTTAACAAGCATTTACTAGGCACCTGCTGTGTGCCAAGAGTGAAGCTAGGCCCTGGGCCTGAACTGGAGTAAGAAGCTCCTGGCTTTCCCAAGCTTGTCACTGACTATCGCTTAGTCGGAGGGACAGAGGTGCTCATGTGGGCAAAGGGCCAAGGAGGCCCCGCAGGGCAGCACTGGAGCCCGAGGACCAGGCGGAAGGGAACAGCACGGACAGCAGGGAACAGCATGGCGTGTGCTGGGAATCCCGCGGGACTGTCCTCGTGTGCCGCCTGCACAGGTCGCTTAGCCCCCCTGGCTTCAGTTTTGCCCCCGGTAACATGGGGATGGCCAGGTACCTCCACGAGGGCTGCTGTGAGGCCTGAAAGCAGCGGGTCACGTAAAGCACTTGGCCACGAGCCCAGTACAGAGGAGGCAGTTAGCGAGGGGCCCCCTGTGGTCACCGTACGTGCGTGAACACAGGCCTGTGGTGCGGCCCGGAGCCCAGACGCTGCCTCTCAGGGTTCAGTGTCCTTAAGCCCAAGATGCAGGCCGGGCCCAGTGTCCCTCAGGTCCCTGTGAGGGTGTTCTAGGTGTTCCTGGCATGTGTGGGAACCCGAGTCCATGTGCTCTGGTGCCCGTGGGGCAGCACTGCAGAGCTGGCTCCCTCTGCTTAGACTGTGCCCTCCTGTCCTCTCCCCCCGGCAAGCCCAGCTGGCCTCCCCGGCCCCGCTCTCCATGTCAGGGTCCCCCAGCCTCACCTGGACCGCGGTGGCCTGTGGAGTGTCGGGCTTCCTGAGAGAGGCCCCAGGGCAGCGACCCAGCACACTTCCTATGTGGGAGGCCTGCCAAGTGCAGACGGAGCTGGACGGGGCTGCCCAGCCGGGTGTGTGTGCACCTTGGGGACAGGGCTGCCCTTCGCCACTACATTGGAGGACAAGAGAGCCCCTGGGAGCTGGGCCAGTCTTGGGGAAACGGGGCAGGTGCCTCCCCCTACTGAACTAAGACACAGCCAGAGCTCAGGGTCCCCCAGCCTCTTCCCCCTCTACTTGCCTGGGGTCCCGGCAAAAAGGCCACGGCCCCAGGCCCAGGGTGGGACTGCAGACGCAGGATGGCACAGAGCCCACAGGGTGAGGGTGGCATGGGTGGCAGGGAGCAGGGGCACCAGGGCAGATGGGGAGCATTGTCTCAAATTCTCCAACACGAAACCCCCAAGATTCCAAGCTGCACCATCCAACAGAGTTTTCTGGAACGTGGAAATGCCCTGTACCTGTGCTGTCCACCTTGGTGGCCACTAGACACGTGTGGCCACCGGGCAGTGAGATGTGGTGAGTGTGACCGAGGGCCTGAGGTTTACGTTTAGGTGTAAGGAGCCACGTGTGGCCAGTGGCTGCCGTATCGGTCTGAGGTCCACTTGCCCCCCCCCCCCAACCTCTGGCAGGACTGTGGGCCTCACTGCGGGGATCTGTTGAGCCCCTTCTTGGAAAGGAGAGACCGCTTTTCTGTGCCCCTAGTTCTGCCCGATGGCTTGCAACTGGGAAATTCTTACAGCGGCTCTGCTGAGATACCTCTGCCTGTCACAGTTCACTCTTCTGGGGCCTCAGCCGAATCCTGGTACCGCCAGCTTCCTGCCCACCAGGCACCCAGAGGGGAGGGCAGAAGAGGAGGAAAGAAGGAACCAGGATTCAGGAAGTACTTTCGTGGTGGGAGGGACTTCTACCTATGGGCGTAGTTAATGCTCCCACGCCCTATGAGGCTCAGAGAAGCTGAGTGACCCACCCAGGGTCACACAGACGGGAAGGGACAGAGTCAGGATGGGAACCCATGTCTGCGTGGCCTTCAGGCCCGCAGGGCAGGTGCTTACGTCCTGCTGTAGACGGTCTACGGAGGCTGTGATCTCCGCAGCGCCGGGCTGCCTGTAGTTCTGGGCCAGGGTCCGGGTCAAGTGCTGCCTCAGCTCCTCGCTCAGCTGAGGAGGGTGGAGAGGAAAGGTACGTCAGCAGAACCACCCACGGACCCGCCCCCACTACTCTAGAGCTCCTTGAACTTGAATGTTGCTATGGCCGAGGTCTCCCACACAGTGAACTGGGATCCCGGGTGGGAGGCAGGGTCCCTAGAGATGGTGCTGCGAAGGCTGGGGACCTGCGTTAGGTGGAGCGTGATGGGCTGAGCTGGGAGACAGGTGGGGCCCCAGAGCTCAAGGCTGGTGGGGGCACGGGTGAGGCTAGGCACTGGGTGCCTTTAAATACAGTCGTCCCTCGGTACCTGGGGGGTGGTTCCAGGACTAGCACTGATCTTCTGCGGATGCTCAAGTCCCTTGTATATAATAAGATGGCGCAGTATTTGCATATAACCCATGCGCATCCTTCCGTATGCTTTACGTCACCTCTAGATTACTGACAACACCTAATGCAACGTAAACGCTGCGTAAATAGTTGTAAATACAGCGTAAACGTTACGTCAATAGTTGTGCACGGTGCTTTCACTGCCGTGGGCCAGGGTTCAATGCCTGGTCGGGCGGGGAACTAAGATCCCGCAAGCCACGCAGCACAGCCCCCCTCCCACCACCCCCGCCCCCTCCCCAAAAAAAAGTTGCGCACTGGCAGATTCAAGTTTTTCCTTTTAGAACTTTCTGGAATTTTTTTCCAAATATGTTTGATCTATGATTGGTTGAATCTGTGCACCCGGAACCCCTGAATATGGAGGGCTGTATCTGTTGATTTTCATTTTGAGGTGATATTAAAAATATTTACAATCGTTATCTTGAGGACATCCATCAGTCGTATGGGCGCTGGCGTGAAAGGACAGTGCAGTCATCTGTCTCTACCAGCCGAATATTACCCTTGAGTCACTGAGCACCCAGTGGGAGGGGACCTGACCGTGGCATCCTTGGCCAAGGCAGGCGGGCGAGGCCCAGGACCACCTGCATGTCGCTGCCTCCCCAGTCCCATGCACCCCTCCCCGTGCTGTCCCTCCTGGGGGAGCCGACGGGGAAAGTACGAGGAGGACGCTTCACTCACCCTCTGGTAGTACACGTGGGCCAGGACCCCCGCCACCAGCTCAACAAGGAAGATCACCAGCAACAGGCAGAAATACTAGGAGCGAGGAGAGAAGGTGGGCACGGCCGGGTCAAGCCTGGACAGGCAGCCGGCCCTTCAGGACCTCTGACAAATGCTTCCCCAAAGCTGAGGGGGGCTCCCATCACTCACAGCTTCTTTCTCCTCTTCCCAGCAGCCCTGGACGGGGGTCCGGACACCCGCCTCTCCCGGCTGCTGGCCTGGAGTTCCCCCCCTCCACCCTTCATGCACCGGTCTGCTGTCAGTTCATTAATCCGTCCACCCACCCAATGTTTATTAAACACCTACTGTATGCCAGGTATAGTTAAGTAAGGCAATTATTGGCCTCAGTTATTGGTGGAAGGGACAGATAAATAAGTGCCTACAACGTTGTGTTATAAATGCTATTATGGGGCAGACCCTAGAAACTATAGGAGGCCCCAGGTTGGGGAGGGCAGTCAGAGAGGGCTTCCTGGAGGAGGTGGCATCTGAGTGACATCTCTAAGGATGAGATGCCAGGTGAAGGAAGTGGGAAGCACATGCCAGGTGGAGGGGAGAGCGTGGGAAGCCTGGAGGGTGCAGAGAGCTCCGGGGGTGGGGGGGCTGCAGTTCAGGGAGTGGGGAGAGCCGGTGAGGCTTAGCCTGTGTTGATGCTGGCTGGGCAGCTGCAGCCAAGGCTGGGGAACAGCAAAGCACAGATCCTGGGAAAGGCACAGCCCTTCAAAGCCCTGCAGGGGCTCTAAATTCCCCTCACCACCGCTCCGCACATGTGTCACAGCCCTGCTGGCTGGCTTCCAGGCTGTGCACCCGGCTGTGACCGGCAGGAGGATGGGCCTGCATCCCTCTCCCACTCCCGCCTGGTGTCATTGCTTGGTCCTGGGGTGCTCTTACAGGAGCCAAGGCGTCGGAAGTGCATGCCAGGCCCACGTGGCTGGGAGGGGACAGGGAGAGGGAGCTGAGGGAGGATGGAGATGAGGGCGGGGGAGAGGAAGAAGGGGAGGAAGGGGAGGGAGGTACTGTTGGCTGCAAGCAGGCCCTCTGGGGCCGCTCGGCCCCTCCCCCTGAGCACTGGCTGGTGCTCCTTCCCCCCAGGGCCGCCCACCTGGCTGGGCACGCCAGGGCCGCAGCCCCTGGTCACTGGATCACTGGGTTCCAGGGAAGGCTCAGCCTGGGGGCGAGCTCTGAAACTTCAGGGCCTATCAGGTAGGGAAAGGAAGGAGGGCAGGAGGGGATACAGATGGAAGGAGACAGTGGCAGGGCGGGGATTGTGGGGCCAGTTCCGAGGGATGCCTGTCCATGGGTCTGCAGGCTTGGCCTGGACACCTCCCAGCCCACGGGGGAGCTGGCACAGAGAAGGAACTTTCCACCCAAGAGCCAGGCTTCCTTTCAAGTTAAGTGAATCCCGTGCCCGCCCCCATCTTACTGGGCCCCATCCCTCCCAGCATCAGAGCTGCCAGTGGTGGGGAAGTGGGGATGTGGGGAAGTATTCCCAGTCTCTGCAGGAGTGGAGACCGCTGGCCCTAATCACCTGGGCCTGAGGCAAGAGCACAGTGGGGGTCCGTGGTCCCCTTCCCTCCAAGCCCAGGCTCAGCGCTGCACCAGGAGAGCCTGCGTGCCCGAGCTCTGTCCGCCCCCAACCAGGGGCACATGCCCGGTCTGCAGCTCCTCTGACACGGCGGCCCCTCCACTTGCCCTGCCCGCCCGGCACCGAGGCCGCTCTCCTCCCTACGTGCAGTGACCGCCAGTTGCTCCCCTGGCTTCCTGGGTGCGCGCCGCACGCCCACGCCGGCCGCGCCGGGGGAGGGCAGCGGGGGCCGAGGCTCCTCTCCATCACCCCTCTAGTTGCGGGTCACGTGGGAGGGTGGTCCTGGAGACGTGGCAGTGTCGCGCTGCTCCAGGGACGTTGCTGCCACAGGTGCTGTCGAAGCCAGGCTGGGGAAGAGGGTGGTTGGGAACGGAGGGCGACCCAGCCACATCCTGACATGATGGCAGGCTAAATGAATACCTGCCAGCCCCTCAAAACTGTTCTGACGCGTCAGCAGGCATCAAACAGATTACCCGACCTGCCGGAGGCGTCAGGAGGGGAAGGGCGGTCTCGAGAGGCTGTGACGCCCCCTCCCACCCAGGAGCTCCGGCCGGCAGTAAAGATGCCTCTGTGAGGGGGGTCAGGGCTAAGCTGGGCTCCGCAGGACGGAGGGCGGGTGCCAGGGACAGGACGGCTGGGTGATCGGTGGGCACAGGCACTGGTTCCAGGCAGTAGCTCCAGCGGCAGGAGGGCTGCAGGTGTGTGACTCACCTGCGCGTGGGAGGCCCTGAATCATAGCTCGGGGTGACAGTCCCCACTCCCTGGGATCCTGCCGCACCGGGATCCTGGAGGCATGGCTTCTGGAGCTGGCCGGCTGGAGCCTGGGCACCGGGGCCGGGCTGGAGGGCTCTGCCATGTGGCGCCCTGAGCTCTGACACGCCTCGCCTCTGCCCTCCGCCTTGCCCTCCACCAAGCCTCCCCTGACGCCCCGGGTCCAGCCAAATCATCTCCCGCCACGGTGCAGGGGGCTGTCTGAATGCAGGCCCAGCCCCCCACCTCCGCGCCTCTGCCCTGTCCCCCTGCCTGGAGTTCCACACGCAGCTCAGCCACGGCCTCCACGAGCCCGCCCTCAGGTCCCAGCCACATGCCTGCAGCGCTTCATCCGCCTCGTGTCCCGACAAGAACTCCAGCTCTTCTCCTTCTCCCCTGGGCTAGACCCGGGGCCCACCCTGCCTGCCTTCCGTCCCTCATCCGCAGCCCCGGGCGTGGGCGTGGCCTCCGCGGGGTGAGGGACGTAACTCCACCCACTGCTCCCAGGAGCCTGCTTCTGGTGCTACTGTGCTCTCTCTCCAGGATGACCATGCGCTTCTGGGGAACAGGCACCCTGTCTCAGGATCCTCCGGCTCTTCCGCAGGGCCTGGTGCCCCGCTGGGTCTAGATGCTCGGACAGCAGCCCTGGATTCAGGTCTGCAAGTGCGCTTCTTACTAAGCGCGCCTGTGAGACGGGGGACTGGCCGGAGCTCGCAGCCCACGCCTGGGGGCAGCAGCTTAATCCTTTGCTGATCCGGGGGTGGCGCGGAATTGTTACTTCCATTTAATTTATACCAGTGGTTCTCCGCCTGGCACGATTTTGACCCCAGGGCACGCCTGGCAATGTCTGGAGCCATTTTTTGTTGTCGTAAGTCGGGGAAGGAGTGCTACCGGCACCTAGTGGGTGCAGGCGGGGGGGACACGGCCAAGCCTCCCACCGTCACAGGGCAGGCCCCGCGGCAAAGACGATCTGGCCTAACTGTCAAGGCCAGTGCCAAGGCCGCCGAGAAACTCTGACACATTTACCTTCAGGCTCTAAGGCGGATGCTGGGGCTTGATTTGCATATGTGCCCATATGCACTATTGGAGACATAATAGAAAAGATCTCAGGAAGGTTCTGTGGTTCCTGAGAAGCCTGAAACAACACGGACAGAAGCAGGTGAGGGGTTTTACCCTGTACCTGCCTTGGAGGGCAACTTTGGGGCAGGAAGTTGCTCACCCCGACTCAAGGAAGGATCAGGGAGGCCTACGAGGCTTCAGCTGTGGGCACGCTAGCACCCGGGGTGCAGAGAGAAAGCTGCTAGCCTGGCTGTGCCCTGGGGTCCCTGGGCAGGTCCCTGGGCAGAGGTGGGCTGTTGAAGTCTGTAGATAACGGTTGATTCTGGGAAGGCTGAAGAGGTTCTGGAGCTACAGTCCACCCCCTTTAAACTCGGTCTGGTGTGGGTTTGGAATTATTGAACAAAAGTCAATAAAAAGTTCTCAGATCCCCTGTGAGTAATTTGGAGAAATCATGTTTCAGTATAAGTCTGGACGTACTGGACCCTGAGCCCACCATTCCCAAGAGATCACCAGAATTCCTGGCCTGTGGCTTAGCAGGTGATAACCCAACTCAGGGGGTGCTGCCTTCTCAGGAACAGAGGAAAGGCAGGTCTTCTACAAGTGGGAGCAGTGGACAGCATCCCTTCCACCGAAATACTCCCGAAAGCCCCAAATCAGCCCTCCTGGGCAGAATCAGTGCCTTATCCACCTGGGTGCTCCCTGCATGGCCCTCCTCGTCACAGTGCTCTGCAGGCGCCAGCATCACACACGTGTGTGGAGAGGCTACAGCCTGGCCGAGGCCACGTGGCCGGCACATGGTTGAGTCTGGAACTGAACCCAGGGATTCTGGCTGCAGAGCTGTGTGCCCACACGCTGGATCACCCTGATGGCTGATGGGTGGGCTGGCTGAGCTCACAGCATGGCTGGGGGGCAGGGTTAGGTGGATGCCGGGTGTCAGGTGGGGACAAGAGACAGAGGGGAAACCCAGGCCCAAGAGGGTCTCTCTCCGGCCCCCGTGCAGCCTCCAGCCCTCAGCACCAGCCAGGCAGGTTCCCCGGCCCCCAGCAAAGGGCCCTGTGCCTTCACGCCTGTGCTGGGGTCACAGCCGCAGCTCTAACGCCCACGTCTGTCCCCATCGCTTTACTCAGCCCGGCCTGACCGTCTGAGGGTCTGGGGGCCACACAGCTGGGCTACACCCCGAGAGGGCACACAGGGCTGCACCTTGGTCTCTGCGGGCCCTCCCGGTGTTCACTGCTCTGAGCACGTCTGTGCTGTGCAGCTGACAGCCGTCAAGTGTGAGCTTGGTCAAGGCCTCCACAAAGCCCTCCTGGAGCCAAGAGGTCCTGACTGCGACCCTGTGGCCCTCACCCTTCTTTCTGACTCCCGTCTGACTCACGGGCCTCACGCCTGTCCCGCTCCTGGGAGTGTATAGGCTTTGATCCCCGTGTGACCACCTGCTCTGCCCTGCCCCTGTGTACCGCGGGGCGAAAGGAGCCCACCCCACGCCAACACCCCCCTGACCCTCAAGCCCCCTCTGAGCTTTGCGAGCAGCCGGCCTCACAGCCCCACCCCCAGTCCTTCCAGAATCGACCACCGGAATCCGGGTCGGATAGAAACCAGTAGTGAGAATTCCAAAGAAACCTCTTGTAGCCTCTGCCCCCGGAGC